TCTTTGCCATAGTATTATCACTTGTGTGCTCACATGTACAGAGACGAATAGATCCTCAGACACGCAGACTCATGCAAGAGGTACATCCACACACACACACACACACACAGATAGAAACACGCACATACACAGACACACACACACACACACATAATATAACATATAGATATAGATAATAGATATAGATATAGATATATATATATATATATATATATATATATATATATATATATATATAGATAGAGAGAGAGAGAGAGAGAGAGAGAGAGAGATAGATAAGATATATAGATACAACAACACACACACACACACACAACACACACACACACACACACACACATATACATATAGACAGACAGATAGATAGATAGATATACATATAGATGTGTATCTATCTAATCTATCTATCTATCTATCTATCTATCTATCTATCTATCTATCTATATATATATATATATATATATATATATATATATATATATATATATATTATATATATATGTGTATGTGTGTGTGTGGCAATAACAGAGAATGAGAGAGAGAGAGAGACAGAATAACACACTACATATTCAAGTACATTCCATGAACACAACATCCCGTCGGAGTGCCCGATCCATCCCTAATTGTAAACATCTCCACAACATGTTCCAGCTAACGTAAACATCATCACTTTCTCCTCCACAAAACGCCAGCGCAGCCGCCATCCTCCTTCCAGGGAGACAATATACACGGGGTTCTGGCTTCTCCTTTCAGACCGCTTACACCCTACCCCGAACCATAACAAATAGATGCAGTATACGTCCCTCTGGAGCCGTGGGCGTCGTCCCTCCTTTTTCAGCGTCCTTCAAACACACACGCAATCCCGTGTAGACATGGCCATCCACTCTGGGCGGCTCCGACTCTCACTCGCTGGGCGCTCTTCCCTGAATAAAATGATGCAGTGTGTCTTCCTCTCTCTCTCCCTCTGGCTCTGTCTTTGTATTTCATCTTATGTATATATATATATATATATATATATATATATATATATATATATATATATATATATATATATATATATATATATATATATATATATATATATATATATATATATATATATATATATGTATGTATGTATGTGTGTGTGCGTGTGTGCATGATTTGTGTGTGTGTGTGTGTGTGTGTGTGTGCATATATGTATGTATGTGTAGGTCCAATTCTCAAACAGAAATACAACAAACGTTGTTTCGTTAACCGGCCCTAACATCCTTTCCGTGGTTGCCACAGCATTTACCTAGCGAACGCTTTGGTTGTTTGAACGTTTATGGACAATAAATCACCTTTATGACAACGTTTATGTATCGTAAATCTATATCATCATCTTGTCTATCCACTTCGGACATTTCCTTAATTACCTTTCGTTGATATGAAGAAGAGACTATTCTCTTTTTCTTCTATCTCTCTCTTATCAGCGTATTAAAGAAGATGAACGCGTAAGAAAGTAGTAAAAATTCTAAGAGGAATGAGCAGCTGCGTAAGCCTTCAGAAAAATAATCCTCATACGCGCTAAAGTCTACGGTCGCAACCCACATTTCACTACCCGGCAGAACCATGTAATATACTTCTTTTCTATTCTAGCTTCAGGATTTTGCTTAGACAGTCAAGGTAGTTTTACTTCAAATTCAGCATATCTATTACTGCACTATAGAACCATGTAATATTCTTCTTTTCTGCACCGGGGAAGCGTTATGAAAAGAGAGAAGTGTTATGAAAAGAGAGAAGTGTTATGAAAAAAACCCAGACAACAAGCAGACCCTGTATAGTGTTTCTCCTAACGAACTCGAAAGTGATGACCTTTTTTCCCTCCCCTCACCAATTTCCATCTGCCAAAGGCCAAAGGATTTGAATGGGCACGTACGGCGTCGGTAGTTAGTTTGACGGAAAGAGAGGGAGGGCGTGTGAGAGAAAGAGAGAGAAGGGGGAAAGCAGAGATAGAGAGAGAGAGATGGAAGGAAAATGTTTTGCGGGATGAAGAAGTGTTGGGGTGCACGAAGGAGGAAGGGAAAGAGAGTGTTGGATAGAGAGACGGAGAGACGGAGGGAGAAGGGAGGGAGGGAGTGAGAGAGAATGAGAGAGAGACGGAAGGAGGGGGAGAGAGAGAGAGAGGTTTGGAGAGAGAGACAGAGGGACGGAGGGAGGGAGGGAGAGAGAGAGAGAGAGACGGAGCGAGGAGGAAAGAGAGAGAGAGAGAGAGAGGGAGAGAGTTGAATAGAGAGACAAAGAGAGACGGAGGGGGAGGGAGGGAGGAGGAGGGGGAGAGAAAGAGAGAGAAAGAGAGAGAGAGTTAGAAAGAGAATACAGGAATAAGAGAATAGAAAAAAAAAGAAAAGAGAAAGAAAAAAAAAAAAAAAAAGAACCAGAAGACCCACCATACAATGAATATAAACAAACCCCGAACACAAAGACACACAAGCATGAAAATAAAGCAATAAAGACGAAAACACAGAGACAGGGCGAAAGAGACTGACCATTTTGAGTTGATAAATCACTTCTTGCCACCACATCGACTGACCCACTTGGCTGCTTGACAGAGTAGACTGCTCGACTCGCTGTATTAAAGGAAGAAAAGAAGGGGAGTAAAAGAAAGAAAGAAAAAAGAGGGAAAATGTCAAACGAGGTCAGATCGTGACGTCTGATATATCTCGTCATTTTCCTTTAAGAGATGGAAGAAGATTTAGTGTTGAATCAAGGTCCTTTTTTGAGTTTTCGATTTTAAGATTTTTTTTTCATTTTTATTTTATTTTTTTTTTTTTTATTTATTTTATTTTTTTTTTTTTGAAGGGAATTTTGTAAATGATTTCTTCCATGTGTATGTTTGTTTAGAAACTTTGTGAATAAGGAAGAAGTTATGGATATTCAGAAAGAAATATAATCATTCAACTTTCCGTCCAAGTTTTTTTTTTTTTTTTTTTTTTTTTTTTTTTTTTTTTTTTTTTTAGTCTTAAGTGATTGGTTGTTCTTTTTTCAGCGATTATTCTTCTGGGAGGGTTAGATTGAATATATTATAGTGTGTGTGTATGTGTGTGTGTGCGTGTGTGTGTGCGTGTGTGTTGTGTGTGTGTGTGTGTGTGTGTGTGTGTGTGTGTGTGTGTGTGTGTGTGTGTGTGTGTGTGTGTGTGTGTGTGTGTGTGTGTGTGTGTGTGTGTGTGTGCGTACGACCGTGTGTGTGTGTGTGTGTGTGCGTTGTGTGTGTGTGTGCGTCCGTGTGTGTGTGTGTGTGTGCGTACGACCGTGTGTGTGTGTGTGTATGTGTGTTTGAGATATCTAAGATAACGAAGTCATAACTGCACAGATAATGATTAGATAAAAAAAAAAAAAACTTTCTATTAAAAATTAACCACCAAAGAAAACAAATAAGGATATAAATACACAAACAAAGAAAAAAAAAACAATTCTCCTCGTATATTTCATCTCATTTCAAGGGAGATTTACTTTATCCTTACTATTTCTCTTCCCCTCCTCCCTCCCCTCACCAAATGTATGTATAAACCCATTTCAGATTAGGTTTACCCGTTTCCCCATAATTTCCCGTTTATTCCTACTACCTCACCCCCTATTTTACTAATTCCATTTCCCTCTTGATTTCCCTTAATAGTTGCAAATATCGTCAGCCAATTCGGCGCAAATCATGTGGACATTGCAAATCAGATTATTTTTATTGTAATTAATCTCCCTATTTCAGCCTCACAATATCCCTATTTTTTATCCATTTATTCATTTGTTTATCTTTCTAACATATGAATATATAGATTGTATATATATATTTTTTCTTCTTCTTCTCTTTTTTATTTATTTACTTATTACCTGCTTCTTTTTCTTTCTTTTTCTTATTCCTTTTTTTTTTTTTTTTTTTACTTATTCTCCCTTTTCTCTGTTTTTACTAGTCCTCCCTTTCTTTAGAAATTCTCCCCACTTGCTTTGTATAATTATCGTCTCCCTTTCTTTTTCTTCACACTGGCAGATACGTGGAGACCCCGGACACTTAGAAAGTGTTCATTATTTATCTCTGGTTTCTTGGAATCTACTCTCCCTATTTAATAAGTACTGTGACTAACTCTACTTTCACTAAACCCTACTTTTATTACCTTCCTTTCCTAATCTCTTTTTTTCTTGACGAATCTTCCCTTCTTGTCTTTTCTTCTTCTACCTATTTTACTTTCCTTTCTTTACATATTCCCCTCCTTCTTCTCTTACATGATCAGATAATTATTAGCTAGTCTTCCACGTTTTATCTTTACTCTCTCTTTCTTTACTATTCCCTTCTCCCTTCTCCTTCCAGTCTTACGTAATCTTCCTGTTTCACTAATTTTCTTCCCCTTTTTTCGGTACTCATTTTCTTTACTACCCTCCCCCCCCCACCACTGCTAATCTAATAACTATTTCCTCCTCCATTTTATTCTCCCTTTCTTTACTAATCCCCTTCCTCTTCTCCTTTACAGACACCTTCTGGTCTTAACGTATTTTCCCTCCTTTCACAAATTATTCTTCTTCATCCTAATCCTCCTCCCCCCCCCCCAGTGGCCACACACCTTCCAGTTTTTACGAATCTTCCCTCTTTCACTAGTTCTTACATACTAAACCACCCCCTTTCTTCTCCCCCACAGAGGCAGTAATCCCTCCCTCTTCTCCCCCATAGTGGCAGACACGACGGCACATCTTCCAGTTTTTACGAATCTTTCCTCTTTCCACAAACTATTCTCATTATACTAACCACCCTTTCTTCTCACAGTGGTAGTAACCCCCTCCCTCTTCTTCTAAACAGAGGCAGTAACCCCCTCCCTCTTCCCCCCCACAGTACAGTCCCTTCCTCCCTTCCCCCACAGTGGCAGTAACCCCCTCCCTCTCCCCCCCTCCCCACAGTGGCCCATACGACGTTACACCATCCAATCTACAAGAGTCTTCCCTCTTTTCACTAATTCTAATCATACTAACGCCCCTCTCTTTTCTCTCCCCCACAGTGGCAGACACGACGGGACACCGGGCGCTCCCCGTCGTGGTCTACATCCACGGCGAGAGCTTCGAGTGGGGCGCCTCCAACCCTTATGACGGTTCGGTCCTCGCTGCCTACGGGGACGTCATTGTAGTCACCCTCAACTACCGCCTAGGGCCCTTAGGTCTGTCCCTCGTTTGGTTGTTCTAAGTTTAGTCCAGTGGTTTTTAGTCATTTTTGAGTTACGGTCCCTTTAAGAGTCAGTGGAAGCCATGGACTCCCTGCCCCTGAAATATTCATATAAACACATCTTGGTATGTAGTGTGTATAATGTACTTTATTGATATTTGGTTTTATAACACACATGTATGTTTAGACTTTCAAGAAAAACAATTTATAAATAACACTCCTTTTTATATCTAAAAAAAAAAAATTTGAAATTTTATCTCATCTTCATGGACCCCTTGAAACCCTAGGTTAAGAACCCCTGGTCTAGTGTAAGTCAGGTTCTAAGTCTGTCTGGGGACTCCTTCTGCGTGTGTTTGTGTGTGGTGGTGGTGGTGGTGGGTGCGGTATTGCTTCGAGTAGGTAGTCGGTCTGTCAGGGTTCCTGTGGTCTTTTCTTTGGTGATTTTGCTCTAGGGCGATGCAGATGGTCTGTATATCAGGGTGTTTGTAGTTATTCAGATGATTATATCAGTACAATGTGGGATGGAAGTCGCTTTGTAGGAGGTTTTCGTATCGTGTGAGCTGGGCGTTGTGGTTCAATATCTGGTGATGTTGGCTAGGGCTTGCTAATCACTAATTAGGTGCTTTCGGGTTAGCATATATCCAGTAACATTTAGGATGAGTCACTTTCAGTCTACGGGGTCATCTGTTCCCATATGAATCAGAGAGGGAATGGTCGCATCAGTCAAAGTACTGTCAATCACTCTCAGTCTGGGGTCATCAAGGTTGTTTACATCCGTATGTGCTTTCGGGTTAGCATATATCCAGTAACATTTAGGATGAGTCACTTTCAGTCTACGGGGTCATCTGTTCCCATATGAATCAGAGAGGGAATGGTCGCCCCGTGTGTCATGAGTGAGTCAGTCACGATTGAGTCACTGCCACACACTTCCATAGTGTGGTGGGAACGAGACGGACTATCTGCCAGTCACAGACAGGAGTAAATCTGCCATGGAACAGCCATCCACGTTCAGCCTGGTGTAGAAGGGTCAGATAACATGTCAGTCACTTCCAATCTGACGTGAATCAGACAAAGCAGTTACTCTCAGCAAGGTGCCAAATCAGAAAGGCTAATTGTCAGTCACCTCAAGACTGGTACGGATCAAACAAGGCGCTGCCAGTTACTGCCATTCTAACTGGCTTGTAACTGGTATGGGTCAAACAAGGTTACTGCCATTCTAACTGGCTTGTAATACGGGAAATATTAAGTTGGTGTTCTGGTGTATTTTCTGTTCTCACACTTTGGTTAATTTGCTTTCTAATAATCCAAACTGAATTAGTCTAATCTAAGTCTTATCCCTGAATATTCCTTGAAGTTTATCTCCGTCAATCTTCGTAAAGATTACGTATCACATTATTTCACCTCGTAAAGTTCGTCAGTGTTTCATTATTCCTATAAAATTGGTTTTAATTAGCATGAGAATAACCATTTCTGAACATTAGCAATTTCGCTCCGGAGAGTGAGGTTGTTCCGGCCACAATAAAAAGAAAAAAGAAGAAGAAGAAAAAAGAAAAACGCTGATTATTATTCCTCGAACACATTATCACGTATTTGTGCTTAAGTAATTTCGGTGCATATGAGGCCATTTTCTGTTCACACTGAAACACATTAAGAGGGGACACTCAAGTATTTTTCTTTCTTTCTTTTTTTTTTTTTTTTTTTTTAGGGGGGGGGGGTGGTGGCAAGGAATGAGTCCCCCTCCCCTCCACGTCTACACCCCCCCCCTTGTGACAGTATCTAGTGACATAGTTGCCTGAGGTTATGTGGCAAAGTTGCCAGTTAGTATATAATTACGCTCGGGTTGCTCCTTGTGGCTTCTCTCTTCCTCTCTCTCTCTCTCTCTCTCTCTCTCTCTCTCTCTCTCTCTCTCTCTCTCTCTCTCTCTCTCTCTCTCTCTCTCTCTCTCTCTCTCTCTCTCTCTCTTCTCTCTCTGTCTCTGTCTCTGTCTCTCTCTCTCTCTCTCCTCTCTCTCTCTCCTCTCTCTCTCTCTCTCTCTCTCTCTCTCTCTCTCTCTCTCTCTCTCTCTCTCTCTCTCTCTCCTCTCTCTCTCTCTCTCTCTCTCTCTCTCTCTCTCTCTCTCCTCTCTCTCTCTCTCTCTCTCTCTCTCTCCTCTCTCCTCTCTCTCTCTCTCTCTCTCTCTCTCTCTCTCCTCTCTCTCCTTCAATCTCTTTTCCTTTCTCTTCTCTTTCTCCTCTTTTCGCTTTCTCTCTCTCTTACTCTCTTTCTTTCTCTTTCTCTCTATGTTCTTTTCCTTAATTTTGTCTCTCTCTTTTCTTTCTATTTGTCTCTCTATCTCGCTTTCTATCTTTATGTATCTCTCTCTCTGTTTCTCTCTCACTCTCTTTTTCTTTCTTTCTCTACCTTTCTCTTTCTCTTTCTCTTCTCTGTCTCTTGGTCTCAATTTATCATTCTCTTTTCTTATTTCTATTTCTCTTCTGTCTCTCTTTCTTTCCCCTTTTCTTTTTCACTCATTATGTGTCCTTTTCTTTGTCTCTATCTCTCTTTCTTTTTTCTCTCTCGGTCTCTACCTGTGTGTGTGTGTGTTTTTCTCCCCTTTTAATTATCTCGCACTTTCCCTTCTCTTGTACTTGCTGTTTTACTCTTCTTCCCTCTCGTTTGTACTTTGCCTCTTTATTCTAATCTCTCCTTTCTTTTTCTTTCGCTTTCTTGACTTTTTCTTTCCCTTTCTATTTCTATTCCTTTTTTCATATTCTTATTCTTTAATTTTCTTTTACATCTTCCCTTCAGCTCTCAGTTTTGGTTTATATTATTCTTATTTTTTGTCTTCCTTTTTTGTCTCTCGTTTCTGATTTCTCTCTTCCTGTTCTATTTTTTTCTTCCTTCTGTTCTTCCTTAATTCGATTCCTCCTTTTCTCCTTCTTTTTCTTTTCCTTTTCTCTTTCTTATTCCATTTCTCTTTTCTTCAGGTTAGAGAAAAGGAGACTTGAGGTACACGAATTCATCAATAAGTAATTTATGCATTATTAGAATTGCAAACAAAATGAATAATGAATCACTATAAAACAAAATTAGCTCATAATTGGCAATAATAAAAAAGAGCAATAAAGCGCACGTTAACTGACGAAAAAGAATTAATAATTAAGCTCATAAATCAATAAGCTTATAAATGAATCAGTATATTCGTAACAGAAAATGCAGAAATACACACACAGATACACACACAACACACACACACAACACACCACACCACGCACACACACACACACAGCACACAACACACACACACACACACAAACACACAAGCACACACACACACAACACACACAGCACACACAAGACACAACACACACACACAAAACACACACACACACACAACACACAAGCACACACACACACACACACACGCACACACAAACAAACAAGCACAAACACACAAACAAACAAACACAAACACACACACAAAGATCAGGACAATCCTATCAAAAAGAAGAAAAAAAAACAAAGCAACGTAATATGAAAAAAAGATCATAAAACCCCTCAAAAACAAGAAGCAAAAAAAAAAAAAAAAAAAAAAAAAAAAAAAAAAAAAAACACCACCATTCTTCTATCTTCCTTCCATCCCTCTCCTCCGCCGCCTTCTTACAACCCGGGGTCTTGAGAAACATAACCTTATTCCAGGATACCCGAGGCACGTCTTCTCAAGTGTACTTAGAACGAGCTCGTTTTCTGAGAGTAAACTTCCCCAAAACTCTAAGACACTATGACATTTATGCGCCCGGGAGCAACTTCCTGAGCCTAAGACCCTAATCAGAATGAATGTGGAGTGAGGTGTCCTTTTTTCTCGTCTTTTCATATATCCTTTGATAGTGCTGGGAATTGTCGTTGCTGTTGTTGTTTATTTTTTTCTTTCTTTTTTCTTTCTTCTTCTTTTTCTTCTTATTATTTTACTTATTTTTCTTCTTCTTTTTTTCTTTTCCTTTCTTTCTTCTTTTTCTTCTGTTTCTTTTTCTTCTTCTTTTCTTCTTTTTTCTTCTCTTCTTCTTTCTTCATTTTTCTTCTTCTTCTTTTTTCTTTTTTTTTCTTCTTCTTCTTCTTTCTTCTTCTTTTTTCTTTTTTTCTTTTTCTTCTTTTTCTTCTTCTTCTTCTTTTTCTTCTTCTTCTTCTTCTTCTTTTCCTTTCTTTTTCCTTCTTCTTATTATTATTTTTCTTTTTTTCTTCTTCTCTTCTTTTTTTTCCTTTTTCTTTTTAATTATTATTTTTTTCTTCTGTTTCTTTTTTTTCTTTTTCCATTCTTTTTGCGTTCTTCTTTCTTCTTCTTCTTTTTTTCTGTCTTTTCTTCCTTTTATTCTTTTCGGCCTTCTTTTTTTTTTCGGTATCTTCTTCTCTTCGCTTTTTCTCGTCTTCTTTCTAAATTGATTAAGATTTTGGTTATTTTTCCTTTTCTTGGTCTGTTTTCCTCCTCTCTTTCCTTTTCCTTCTCTTTCTTGCTTCTTCCTTCTTCTGTCTTTCCTGGTCTTCTTCTCTCTCTCTTCTTCTTTTTCCTACTAGTATCTCTGCCGAATCTTTTCTGTGTTTGTCTCTTCTATCTTTGTTTCATTGTTATTCGTTCTCTTCTTTTTTTTCTTTTTTGTTTGTCTCCTTCTTTTTCTCTCTTCCTTCTTTCTCTTGTTTTTTTTCCTCTTCCTTCCTTTTCCTTTCCTTTCCTCTTTTCTTCTTCCTCCTTTTCTCTTTCTCTCCTTCTCTCCTTCTTCGTTTCCTTCCTTCTCTTTTCTTTTTTCTTTCTTTCTTTCTTTGTTCTTCTCTTCTCTCTTTCTTCTCTTCTTTTCTTCTCTTCTTTGGTTACTTTTTTTCCTTTTTTTTTCTAGTTTGCACTTTTTGGGGAGATTTGTTTTGGCTGTGTTTGTTTGTTTGTTTTCTCTGTGTGTTTGTCTGTATCCGTTTTTGATTACGTTTTTCTTATATGTTTTTTTAAAATGGATTTATTTGACTCCTTATCTATTGAATTTTATTTTCTTATGGGTAGCGCTGCCATGTTTGTTTTGTTTCAAATGTATATTTTTGCATATATCATTATATCGCTATTTTTTCTCCGGTGTATAGCCTATTTAATAATTTGTTTATTTATATTTATATTATTATTTTATTATATATTCATTATTATTGTTGTTCTTTTTTTTTAATTCTTTGAATAATTATTGTTTGTCTGTGTGTTATCAATTCAAACCTACTCTTTCCTTCGGTTGTATATTTACAGTTTTAAACCCTTTCCTTATAGCGGTCTTTCCCCCTTTATTTTATATTATTTTTCTTTCCATTTCATTGAAAATCATCTTCTTGAGATTATATTGCAATCAGTCTTTATTAATTTCCATAATGCTGTCACATCGAGTAACGAAGATTTGCTGTCTTTTGTTGTTGTTTGTTGTTGTTTTTGGTTGGTTGGTCGTTGAAGATAAACCGTTAGCTGTTACTTCTCTCCTTCTCCTTCTCTCTCTGAGGATCGCGTCTCCTCTCTCTCTCATCTTTCTCTCTCTCTTCGTCCTCTCTGGCTCTCGCTCTCATCTCATCTGACTTCCCTCTCTCCTCTCTCTCTCTCTCTTTTCTCCCCGTCACTCGCCGCACTATCCCGCTCTTTTCTCTCGTCTCTACTTTCTCTCTTTTTCTCTCTCTCGCTGCTCTCGTCGTTCTCTCTTCTTTGTTCTCTCCGTTATTCTCCCCCTCCTCTCTCTCTCTCGATCATCGAGTCTCTCCTCCCCGTCCCAGCTCTGCCTCCCGTCTCCTCCATTCTCACGGCTGGCGCACTGTTTTTCCGTCTCTCTCCTCTCGTCATCGTGCTCTCTCAGTTCTCTCCTCTCTCCTCTCTCTCTCTCTCTAAACCCACCAAAACTAGCAGGAAAAACACCTCGCTTTTGGTCAATCCTTACCCTACGGACTTTCACTCCTCCTTCCTTTCCTTCCCCCATTCCTCACCTCCATGCCCTCTTTCCCCCTCCCTCCTCCTCCCCCGCCCGCACCCCTTCTCTTCTTTTTCCTCATCCTCCCTTCCACCTCCCATCCTTCCTCCCTCCCTTCCCTCTTTCCTACCCTCCCTCCTTCACCCTCCACCCTCCCTCGCTTCTCCTTCCCGTCTTTACTCCCCCCTCTCCTCTTTTTCTTCCTCTCCCCCTCTCCTCCTTCCCTCCTCCTGATCTTTACCACCCTTCCCTCTCCTCTCTCCCTCCCTTCCCTCCTCCCGTCCCCCTCCCACGCGGTCTTTTTTTTCACATGAAACCGTATCCCTCTTTGTAAATCAAGCTCAACATAATTATTCCTCTGCGCTATCTCGTCCCTTTAAACCAGCCGGCAAATTGTCATGGTAATGCCTCAATTACGAGTCAGTCATGATTGCTCGACTTACTTCCGCTGCATATCTCTCTCAAGTGAGTTATTATTATTAATAGCGTCTTTGATGATAATGTTCGAGTGATCGTGAACTCTGATTGGATACGATATTTTTTTTTTTTTGGGGGGGGGGTTTGTTCGTGTTATTTACTGGGTTTCTGTGTTCGTTTTCATTGTTATCGGTCTGATTGTTGTTTATTTCTTGCTCTCTTGTGGATGTTCTCTGTTGGTGATTGATAATTTTTTCTGTTTGATCTGTCGGGGGTTTTCCTTTAGGTTTTCTTTGAGTCATTGACTGATCTTCGTTATTCTGATGTCGTTTGTTTTGGCTTTATCTGTGTTATTCCTTCTCGGCTTCGGTATACTCCTCTCTATGCTGCTTTGTCTGGAATTTCCTCTTTATCGGTATTATCGTTTCCTTCCATTGTATTGAGCAGGCACAACTCTGATATTTCTTGTCATTATTCTCCTTTGCTTTTCCTCCGTTTGCCTAATTTGATCGCTGAAGGTAATATCTGCGTCGGCTCTTTTCTTCCCCGCCTCGCCCGCCTGACCTCTTCCCGCCTCCCCGCCTACCTCCTTCCCGCCGTCCCGCAGCTGACTCCTTCCCCGCCTCCCCGCCTGCTCCTTCCCCACCTCCCGCCTGACTCTGCTCCTTACCCACCTCCCCCCTTGACTCCTCCTTCCCCCGCCTCCCCCATGCACTGACATCCTTCCCCCCTCTCTCCAACATGACCTCCTTTCACCGCCTCCCGCCTCCCCGCCTGTCCTCTTAGTTCCCCCGCCTCCCCGCCTGACCTCCTTCCTACGCCTCCCGCCTTGACCTCTCTGCCGCCTCCCGCCTCCCGCTGTCCCCCTCACTTCCCCGCCTCCCGCCCCTCCCCGCCTGAGCCTCCCTTCCCCGCTCCCCGCCTGACCTCTTTCCCCGCCTCCCCCGCTCCCCGCCTGACCTCCTTCTCCCCGCTCTCCCCGGCTCCCGCCTGACCTCTCTTCCCGCCTCCCCGCCTGACCTCCTTCCCCACCTCCCCGCCTGACCCCTTCCCCGCTCCCCGCCTCCCCGCTGTCTCCCTTCCCGCGCCCTCACTTCCCCCGCCTCCGCCGCCTGACCTCCTTCCCCTCCCGCCTCCCGCCTGTCCTCCTTCCGCCTCCCCGCCATCACCCGCCTGTCCTCTCTTCCCCCGCCTCCCCGCCTGTCCTCTTCCCCGCTCCCCGCCTGACCTCCTTCCCCGCCTCGCGCCGCTCCCGCCTGACCTCCTTCCCCGCTCCCCGCCTGACCTCCTTCCCCACCTCCCGCCTGACCTTCTTCCCCGCCTCCCCTCCTTTCCCCGCCTGACCTCCTTTCCCGCCTCCCCGCCTGTCCTCCTTCCCCGCCGCCCTCCTTCCCCTCCTTCCCGCCTCCCCGCCTGACCTCCTTCCCCCGCCTCCCCCTCCCGCTTTCCTTCCCCGCCTCCCCTGCCTGACCTCCCTTCCCCCGCCTCCCCGCCTGACCCTCCTGTCCCACTCTCCCCCCTCCCCGCCTGACTCCTTCCCTCTCCCGCAGGCTTTTCCCCCCCCCCCCCCTCCAAACCGATCGGAACGCGGACCCGAGCGGCCGCGGCCACGTCATGAACCACGGCCTCATGGACCAGATCGCGGCGCTCCACTGGGTGCAGGAGAACATCGGGGCGTTCGGCGGCGACGCCGGCAGCGTGACCCTGGTGGGCCACGGCACGGGCGCCGCCTGCATCCACTTCCTGATGGCGTCGGCGGCGTGGTGCCCGCCTCTTCCACCGCGCGGTCTTCATGTCCGGCTCTGGCGCTCAGCTCCTGGGCCACGTCGGCAGCCCCACCCACTACGCCCTCAAGTTCGGCCGCGCCCTCAACTGCACCACCAACCTGCCGTCGGGCATCAGCCTGCACGACCCCGAGTTCACGCCCTCGAACGACGAGCTCGACCAGATGGTCAACTGCCTGAAGGACAAGTCGCTGGACGAGCTGCAGGCCGTGCACATCTCGGCGCCGCAGTTCCTGTACGCCTTCGGGCCCAGCGTCGACGGCATCGTGATCAAGCACGACTACCGCCGCGAGATGCGCAAGCGCGCCGACGAGATGAGCAAGGAGTACGACCTCCTGTTCGGCGTCGTGCCCAACGAGGCCTACAACGCCTTCAGCGACAGCGACATCGAGAAGGGCTTCGACGTGGGCAAGCGCGACCGCATGTTCCGCACGATGGTCCGCAACTCGTACGACTACCACCTGAACGAAGTGTACATCTCGGTCGTGAACGAGTACACGGACTGGGAGAAGCCCGAGCCGCACCCGACGGCCACCCGCGACGCCACCATGGACGCCCTCAGCGACGCGCAGTACGTCGCCCCGCTGCTCAGCACCGCCAACAACCTGCGGATCGGGGACAAGAACCAGTTCTTCTACGTCTTCGACCACACCGCCACGCACTCGGACAATCCCTACGTGAGTCTCCTTTACCTTTCCCCTTCTGCTCCGGGTATTTGGTACGAATATCTTGGGCGTTATGAGGATAACAGGGATGTCAAATGAGGAGCATCAGCCCTAAAACCTATACACCAAGAGTATCTATAATAGAAAATAGAATTAGACCAAGATTAGGGCAAAAAAATAAGGCAATGTTAACAATAGAACTATTGAATTTGCCGTTCATAAGTAGACAGTAAAGGATAAACGTCCATTGTTGTGGCTATATATACAGTGTCTCATTTCGAAACTAAATGTACCATTATACAGTCCAGTTTAAATGTTTTTTTCTCCCCTCTTCCCCTCTCTCAATCTTCTTCCCTTATCTCCCCTTTTCTCGTCCGGTCCTTCCCTCTTCTCTCTCCCCTTTCACTAATTCTCCTCCTTTCTTGCTATTCCTTTCCCTTCTCTTGATTTTCTTCTCTCTACCCTTCTTATCTCCTTCTCTGACCACCCCTCTAATGTTTTTCCTACTCTCTTCCTTTCTTTCTCATTATCTTTATGTGTTTCTTTCTTTGCCACGTTATCTTTTTCTTCCTTTCTTCTCTTCCTCCCTTTCCTGTTTTATTTTGTCTCTTATCTCCCTTTTTTCTGTCTCTCCTCCTTTTCTCCCTCCTCTCCACTCCCCTTGTTTTTTGTCTCCTTTATACGCCGCTTCCTCTCCTCTCCACCTTTATTTTATTTTCATCAACTCTTTCTCTCCTAGTTTCTTTGATTCTCTTTCCTTTCCTCCTTCCATTTTTCTAAATCCCTTCATTATCTATCTTTTACATTTTCCTTTTCCTTTCCCCTCCTCTCCCTCCTATTCAAAACCCTTCCTTCGTCTCCCTTCCTCCATCTCCCTTCCTTTCCTTTACTTCTCACTTCCTTTTCCTCTTTCTCCTCCACACGCGTTACTCATCCTCCCCCCCTCCTACCTCTCCTTCTTCTTTCCCTTCCTCCTCCATATCCTCCTCTCTCCCTCCACCTCCCTTCCTCTACCCCCTCCTCCCTCCCACCCCCTCCCCCACCCCCTCCTCCTCCTCCTCACCCCACCCACCCTCCCTCCTCCTCCTCCCCCCTCTCTCTCTTCCATCTCCCCTCTCTCCTCCATCCCCCCTCCTCCTCCCCCTCCCCTCCCTCCTCCCTCCCCTCCCTCCCCCTCCCTCCCTCTCCTCTCCTCTCTCCTCCCCTCATCCCCCCTTTCTTCCTCCCTTCCCCCCCCTCCTCTCCCCCCCACCTCTCCTCCCCCTCCCTTCCTCCCCAGCAGGCGGTCAAGAAAGCAGTGCACGGGGACGAACTGCCTTACGTGTTCGGCGCTCCCCTCGTAGGCGAACTCGGGGTCTTCGCGGGGAACTGGACGCGAGAGACACCATCATCATATCTGAAGCGATGCTCACTTACCTCACCAACTTCGCCAAGACGGGGTAAGGTCCTTTTGGGGTCGGTCGGGGGCGGGTTTTCTCGGCTCGTTCTTCTCGTTTCTTCTATCGATTTTTTAAGATGTTTTTTTTTATCCTTGTTTCGTTCTTCTTTGTCTTTTCTGCCTTTTATTTTCACTTTGTATCTTCTTTTTATCCTTGTTATTCTGTTTTTTTTCTTTCTTCTTTCTTTTTTTTTTTTCTTTTTTTTTTTCTTTTTTTTTTTTTTTTTGGCTGTTTCTGCTTTTCTTCTTCTCCATTTTGTTGTTCTTTTCTCTCCTTTTCAATCTGGTGTGTTCTTCCTTGTATTGTTATCTCTATATATCTATTATATTATATTATATCTATATCTATATATTCTATCGCACTCTGTCTTTCTTTATTCTATCTAATCACTATCTTATCTATCTATCATCGTCTCCTCTCTCCTCTCTCTCTCTCTCTCATCTCTCCGTCTCTCTCCACATCCCTCTTTTCTCTCTCTCTCTATCTCTCTCTCTTTCTCTCTCCTCTCTCTCCATCCCTATCTCCCTCTCTCTCTCACCTCATTAACTCTATGTTTCCCTCGTATCATTATCAGCAAATACAATCCCTTAAAAAGAAAATTAAACCCACGCGTATCACAGGAATAGAAACAGTAGCAGACCCAAACAGCCTTCCACCTTTAACCAATTTTCTTGTCTCCAGCCCTCCATCATTTTCTCTTCTCTTTATCACAGGAACCCAAACTTTCGTTCTGGACAGGATATGAACAATCAGGCGAGAGAGAAGAACCGGTTCAAGAACCTGGAGTGGCAGAAGTATGACCCTATATACCAGAAGTACTTGGAAATAGGTATGTATCTTGAGGAAAAGGGAGAGAGGGTGGACAGACTCGAAGAAAAAGTTATTCATTTTACTTTTTTTTGATGTGTACATGTATACACACACGTAATATATACAAATAAAACAAACAACGACAAAGGTACATATACACAACATATATATATAGGTGTTTGTGTGTGGTACATACAGAAATGCTTATGTATGTGCAAGTATGTGTGTGAAAGATATATATAGATAGATAGACAAATAAAGAGGGAGATATGCAAAAAGGACAGAGACGTGTATCCATCTATCTGCTCATACAAATGCTACATATATAGAGATATACACTGTAATTAATTAGAAGGTATGAATGTACGTGTTGGAGCATATTTTATTCCTATTCTATTTCCGCCCGTCATTTCTATTTAGAAACCGGAAGAACAAAATGCTGTTTATGCAAATTACAGTACGCAATATTCATGATAAGTCTCCATTATTTCCTGATGTAATTTCTAGCTAATATATTTTCCAGTCGTATTTATTCATTCAATTATTCACCAACGGAAATTTCGGAATGATGAAAATTTATTTGCTCTAGGGATTTTTTTTTTTTTTTTTTTTTTTTTTTTTTTTTTTTTTTTTTTTTTTTTTTTTTTTTTTTTTTTTTAGGGAAAATTATATTAGATTAAGCTGAATCATTATATGTCTATAATCGCTGTGAGAGGACTGTCTGTATTACGTCTGGATTGTTTGGTTAAAAAGATTGAATTATATTTAGGAGAATAATGACGATAGCCCAGGCGATAAGAGTAGTATTCAAATAGATATACCAGTTTTTTGATAGTATGTTAATGATAAGATTATGATGATAATAACGACAATACTAATGATGATGATAATAATGACAATAATAATGATGATGATAAAGGACAATATAATGATGATGATAATATAACAGTTAATAATGATGATGATATAAGTGTGACAATAAATAATGATAGCATGATAATAAATGATGATAAATGAAAGCAATTAATAAAAGAATAGGCAGGATGATTAATAAATAATACATGATAGTGATACATAATGAAAATCTATCTACTAAAAAAAGATTAATGATATACTGATAAGATGTAAATTGTTAA